AAAAAAAAAAAAAAAAAAAAGATGGATGGGCCGGGCTGGACAGGTGGTTTTTGAGACAGTTCTTACTGAGGAGCTAGTGTGGAGATCCTTTCCCTCTCCAAGTTTCACCTGCATAAATGCCTTTATTTCTTATACTTCAACATGTGATTTTAGTAGAAAAGCAGAGTTCTAGCTCTTAAAAAAAAAGTTCAAAACCACTGGACTAGATGATCACCATCTCTATATCTTTGTGATTCACTATAAGGTCTACCTGTCAAATTGTCTACACCTCTGGATGGTACTCTCATGTTTTTAGGAATGGTCTCTACATCAAAAGCATGAGTCAGTCAGGTTCAGCATGTAGGCAAGCTCATGCTTTGGGACCCTTCTAGTAGAGTCCAAGCCAGAAGGTCCTTTTGGGCAGCAGAGAGAGGGTTCTTATCAGTGTCTTTGGACAGGGCACAGGCAGCAGTTTCTAGAACAATCAGAAGAGACAAAGTTCTCTAACACCTCGACCATCCTGGCTGGACTGAGGCAGGCCTAGTACAGAACTTCGGAAGAGAAAATGAGGTTCCACCTCTCTGGACTTCTTAAGCTGCATAGTACAGAAGTCAGTCTCTGTGGCTCTGAAATGGGGACCAGGAGAATTGGGTCCCATCAAGTTGACAAGGTAATTTGAGAAAAGGCAATGGGAGGTGTGATGATGGGACAATTGTTTCTTGTTATCAGCTTGGCCTCCTCTTGACATATGCTCTTTCTGCCCCCAGTCATTCTTTCTTGACCCCTGCTTATGATGACCAGCCACTGGGAACCTTCCTCCATGCTGAGGAGGGGCAGCCATCACTGCTCTGCCAGTTCCGTTTGCCTCAACTCTGCTTCCTTCCAGCCCTTATGCCCAGTCCTCTTAAATGTTCATGAAAGATTTCCCACCTCATGGAAGTGAAATGATCCAGCTTAGATTGTAAACCAGGAAATTATTCCTCTGGACCAGATAGAAGAGAGAAAAACAGGAAACACAACAAACCCAAATGGAATTTGTGAGAGGAAGACATACATATTCTATAGTTTCCATTAAAACAAAAGCTCCATGGGGAAGGGAATTGCAACTGTGAGATGTGCAGTGGATTTCTTTCACATATGGGCATTCAGGAAACATTATTAATGAATGATAATGATTTGTCAAGTGACTGAAAATGTTTCAGGGAAGGAACAGGGAAGGAAAAATGGAGACATTCTTATATCTCAGTGCGGAATTGCTAGGCAGGCCATCCGGATGCCTTTTCTTTGGGGGGTTGCGAATTCCTTGTGTGTCCGGCCATCACTGTAGAACCTTAGTTTGTTCTCTCAGAACCATACGCAATCATTATATATATCATTTTATACACACACACACACGTATATACACACATATACATACGCAGGTATATATAAACATATGACATGTATATATAATTCAAGTGTGCTTCTTTGAGGTCTCTTGGGGCTGGGCAATGCAAAGTATAGTCCCGAGACATTAAGAATAACCTAGAATAGCGATGCCTGGGTGGCTCAGTCAGTTAAGCGTCTGCCTTCGGCTCAGGTCATGATCTCAGGGTCCTGGGATCAAGCCCTGAGTCGGGCTCCCTGCCCTCTCATTCTCCCTCTGTGTGCGCGCTCTCTCTCTCTAATAAATAAATAAAATCTTAAAAAAAGAATGACCTAGAATAATTACCTTTAATACTATAATCATAATAATCTTAAAAATACCTTCCTAAGGGTGAAGAGTAAAGAACACAGTAAAATTCTTACAGAACTATGGAACAGAAAAGGAAAAGACGGGTGCATCTTTATATGTGGTAACAGAATCAATGTCATCTTTATGTGCCTATGTGTATGTATTTATGAAGAACGTGTCTGTAAGTTGAAGCAATGAAATAGCCTGAACTCGTCCTGTCTCTTTGTCTTGCCTTATCCTTTTTCTCCTTTTCCTTTTTCTTTTTTTTTTAAAGATTTTATTTATGTATTTGATAGAGCGAGAGAGCACAAGCAGGGGGAACAGTAGAGGGAGAGGGAGAAGCAGGCTTCCCGCCGAGCAGGGAGCCCAATGCGGGACTCAATCCCAGGACCCTGGGATCATGACCTGAGCCGAAGGCAGACGCTTAACCATCTGAGCCACCCAGGCGCCCTCCTTTTCATTTTTCTTTCTAAATTGAGGAAAGGTAGTGGTGGTTTGTGTAGATTATTTGTGTGGTGAGGGAGCCACCGGTCAGGGAGTGGGAGAATGAGGCAGGGAAGGGAAGGGAAGGCGGCCAGTAACAGGTGGGCTGATGACTGGTTACCACTGGGGGCCTTTGAGCCTAAGCCCTCTGGAGAAGGCAGCCGGCATGGGGGGCTGGAGTGGTTATGCACCAATTGCTGTCAGTCACTGGCTGAGGGCCGTCCCAGGGAGAGCCTTACTTCCCAGTGCTTAATTCCTAACAGGATGGGCAAAGAGGGCTTTGCTAAGAAATGTCCAGTTAAAAGGTGGGCTCCTCTGTCCTGAAGTGGTGAAGGGGAGGGGCGTGGGGGGGGGAGGGGTGGCGCTGGCTGCATGATCTAGACCGGCAATGCATCTTTTTTTTTTTAAGATCTTATTTATTTATTTGAGAGAGAGAGCGTGAGCATGAGGGGAGGGAGGAGCAGAGGGAGAGGGAGAAGCAGACTTCCTGCTGAGCAGGGAGCCCAACGCGGGGCTTGATCCCAGGACCATGAGATCATGACTTGAGCCGAAGGCAGATGCTTAAATTACTGAGCCACCCAGGCGCCCGTGCAATGTGTCTTTGCTGAATTGCACTGTATTTCACTCTTGGTGATTCCCTGTGGTCTTTCCTGGATCTAATGGCAAGGATTACGTACACTATTTTGTCTGGTTTAACAAGTGAAAAAGATGAGGCAAGGGAAGGTCAATCAAGCTAAGCCAGGGACTAAATGAGCAAAGTGGAATAGGAGGTTCTTGACTATTTTGCCTGTTTGGGTCGGAGCATACACTAAATATTCGATCAGTCTTTGATGATATGATCATGGAGACCAAATGGTATTAATTCTCCGCCGTCTCTCTTGATGTTTACTTGGGCGGTCTCCCGAGCAGTTGTGGTAATGCGGGTGGGGGTGGTGCCACGGCCAAGTACAGACGCAGCGTCGTCACAGCGGCGCCTCGTCCCATCTGCCGAGTCTCCAGAGAGAGGTCCCTGAGAGAAAGTGGCAAATTAAATGTGCCATTATTGTCAACAGTCCTCGTTCCACGTGGCATTCGTTTATGACTAATAATCATTGTGATGGCCATTTGGGCAATCCTTCAGTCACTGTTTTTGAATCTTGTGACTGTCTTAGATTTTAGACATACTCGTGTATATCTCCACAAGCATGTTTTTGTAGGGCAGTAGTTGTGAAACACTTGCTTTTTTAATCAGCAAAGCTTAACAACGTAGCCCCTCAATTGCATAAACTGAAATAATGCTTTAAAAAAGATACTTGAGGGGCGCCTGGGTGGCTCAGTCGTTGAGCGTCTGCCTTCAGCTCAGGTCATGATCCCAGGGTCCTGGGATCGAGTCCCACATCGGGCTCCCTGCTCAGCGGGAAGCCTGCTTCTCCCTCTCCCACTCCCCCTGCTTGTGTTCCCTCTCTCGCTGTGTCTCTCTGTCAAATAAATAAATAAAACCTTAAAAAAAAAAAAAAGACTAGCATTTAAAAAAAATAAAAAAGATACCTGAGATATTCTAATCATTGTGCTGTTGCTTTGACTTTGAAAGGGTTACCTTGGGGTAGGGACACAGCAGTTATCAAAGAGTGACTTATTAATAAATCTGGGCTTTTCATAGATTTCTCACTAGCAAGGTTCGTGCAAGATTGTCCCTATTCCGTTTGTCGTCATTACTAAGAGCTTCGTCTGCCTCCTTCAAGTCAGATTCACTTGAGCCTAGTGTGCAAAGTATGTACCTTCTACTGCACTTGTTTCTCAGACATTTACTGAGCCCCTGCTACACACCAGGTGCTTCCCGGAGTGTAGGGGTCACCAACGTGAAGACAGTTCCTGTACTGTGGTCACTTGAGACCTCACCACCCTGAGCCTGGTATTTCTATAGAGTCTTAAGTTCCAGAGCTGGACATTCTTCTACCAAGGGGATTTCAGAGACCTCACCATCAAGGATGGGGAGGGATGACCAAAACTGTAGGGGACAAGAGAAATGACACCCACGTTTGCAAAAGTTAGTTTTGATGGAGGGGACATTTTTTATAACAACTATACTGAAATGTAATTAATGTAGAACAAATTGCACTCATTTAAAGTATACAATATGGTGAGTTTTGACAGATGTATATCCCACAAAATCACCACCACAGTCAAGATACAGAGCTTTTCTTCATCCCAAAAAGTTTCCTCCTGCACCTTTGCAATTGGACACAGGGAACATTTTAATGCAAATAATGTGCCTTTTAAAATTCAGGAACACTTTCATCTGATCAAAAGAGTATTTATTATACTTTTGGCTTTTTTGGCACCAGGCACTGTGCACTGTCCTTAAGTCTCAGCCCATCTGGTACTTCAAAAAGTCCCTTGCACTGGACCACCAAATCCAGACGAAGGTGCCAGGGTGTGAGAGGTTAGAAGAACCTCCACCTCAGGGGCGCAGGGATGCTGGCATATACAGGTTGGGGACAGGCGGCAGTGGAGAGGAGAGGTGGGGGCCAGATCGCTAAGGGTCATGGATGGTGTGTGACACAGTTTAGATTTTAACCTATAGGCAAGAGTCACTGGAGAATTGTGACTGAGGAAGTGTTAGAATCAGATTTGTGCATTAGAAAAATCACTCTTGGAAACTGGGTCAAAGTTACAGATAAGAAGGACAGTTTTAGGGCGGAGGTGGTGGGAGGAGAGAGGGGCAAACACGTGGAATCTAGAAAGTAGGACTGACAGGCTGGGATGCTCCAGCTGGGCATGGGGTTTAGTAAGAGAGCGAGAAGAATCATACATAACTCCCAGGCTTATTGTTTGGCCAACCAGGGGGTGCCTTTTAGGGAAGCTGTAGATTATTTGGGCAGGTAGAGTAAGTTTGGAAAGATGTTTAGTTTTAGATGTGCTGGGTTGAGATTTCTGCTAAGTAGAGATGTCTAATAGTCGGGCCTGTGGGTCCAGAGGTCTGGACTGACTATTTCAGGATCATCCTCATTCAAGCGACACTTAAGAAAATGTGTTTGGGGGGCGCCTGGGTGGCTCAGTTGTTCAGTGTCTGCCTTCCGCTCGGGTCATGGTCCCGGGGTCCTGGGATCGAGCCCCGCGTCGGGCTCCCTGCTCTGCGGGGAGCCTGCTTCTCCCTCTCCTACTCTCCTTGCTTGTGTTCCCTCTCTCGCTGTGTCTCTCTCTGTCAAATAAATAAATAAAATCTTAAAAAAAAGAAAAGAAAAGAAAATGTGTTTGGAACATCCCAGTGTGCGGGCAATAGCTAAGATAGCAAGGGTAAGCCCTGGCTTGTTTGGGAGACAGTCTCTGACTCCTAGGCCAGGTTATGTTCTTTTGATTTGGGTCCCTCACCCCCCAACCTGTACTAAGTACTTTTCCTATCAGAACAGTCATCCCCCGTTATGGTACTTACTGATTGTTTCTTTTCCCCACAAGGCTGTAAGCTTGTGAGACTGGCACCAAGCTTGTTTCTTTGCTGTGTCCTCAGCGCCTCTTACAGAGCTGGGCAGCTAGTAGAAACTCAACACAGACTGTCATGCCTGTCAATTGAATGCCACCCCAACCACCCACGACTAGGAGATCCTTCTAGGGAGAGGGAGCGAGGCAAGACAGAGCCAGAAGTGCTAAGACTGGAGCCTCGTACAACATGTTGTGGGGACGCACAGGAGAAAGTAATGGAAGGCTCTACAAAGTTCATTTGAGCCAGGCCTTGAAGGGTGAGGAAGAGTTCTCCAATCAAGCTGGGTGGGAAGCACATTCTCAGCCTGCGGGTATAAAATATGCAAGGGCACAAAGGAGTGGAAAGTTTGCATGTGACCAGCATAAGAGGCTGGGACTTGGAAGGGTGAGGACGGGCAGGTGATGGGTCTTGAAGAGTCACTGGAGACCCTGCAGGCTTATGGTTCTATAGCAAGGAGTTGGGACTCGACTCTTTAAGCAACGGGAAGCCAATGGAGGTTTCTAAGCAGGATAACACTATGGTCAGATTACAGCTTTAGGGAGAAATCTCTGGGATAGAGTAGAGAGATTAAGAACTCCTCCCCCTGAAAAATGCATTTTTGGCAAGCGCCCAGGTAATTCTTCCACAGGTCATCCTGAGACCACACCTGAAGAAACAGTGGTGTGAAAGA